TGTCTATCAGAAGGCCTGTCTATCAGGAGGCGTGTCTATCAGGAGGCGTGTCTATCAGGATGCATGTCTATCAGGAGGCATGTCTATCAGGAGATCTGTCTATCAGGAGGCCTGTCTATCAGGAGGCCTGTCTGTCAGGAGGCGTGTCTATCAGAAGGCCTGTCTATCAGGAGGCGTGTCTATCAGGAGGCGTGTCTATCAGGATGCGTGTCTATCAGGAGGCATGTCTATCAGGAGATCTGTCTATCAGGAGGCCTGTCTATCAGGAGGCGTGTCTATCAGGAGATCTGTCTATAAGAAGGCCTGTCTATCAGGAGGCCTGTCTATCAGGAGGCGTGTCTATCAGAAGGCGTGTCTATCAGGAGGCGTGTCTATCAGAGGGCGTGTCTATCAGGGGACGTGTCTATCAGGAGGCATGTCTATCAGAAGGCGTGTCTATCAGGAGGCGTGTCTATCAGGAGGCGTGTCTATCAGAGGGCGTGTCTATCAGGAGGCGTGTCTATCAGGAGGCGTGTCTATCAGGGGACGTGTCTATCAGGAGGCGTGTCTATCAGGAGGCATGTCAATCAGGATGTGTGCCTAGCAGGGGACGTGTCTATCAGGAGGCGTGTCTATCAGGAGGCATGTCAATCAGGATGTGTGTCTATCAGGATGCGTGTCTATCAGGGGACGTGTCTATCAGGAGGCGTGTCTATCAGGGGACGTGTCTATCAGGAGGCGTGTCTATCAGGAGGCATGTCAATCAGGATGTGTGCCTATCAGGAGGCGTGTCTATCAGGGGACGTGTCTATCAGGAGGCGTGTCTATCAGGAGGCATGTCAATCAGGATGTGTGTCTATCAGGAGGCGTGTCTATCAAGAGGCGTGTCTATCAAGAGGCGTGTCAATCAGGATGCGTGTCAATCAGGATGCGTGTCTATCAGGAGGCGTGTCTATCAGGGGATGTCTCTATCAGGAGGCATGTCTATCAGGGTACGTGTCTATCAAGAGGGGTGTCTATCAGGAGGCGTGTCTATCAGGACGTGTCTATCGGGACGTGTCTATCTGGAGGCGTGTCTATCAGGGTACGTGTCTATCAAGAGGGGTGTCTATCAGGAGGCGTGTCTATCAAGAGGCGTGTCTATCAAGAGGCATGTCAATCAGGATGCGTGTCTATCAGGAGGCGTGTCTATCAGGGGATGTCTCTATCAGGAGGCATGTCTATCAGGGTACGTCTATCAAGAGGGGTGTCTATCAGGAGGCGTGTCTATCAAGAGGCGTGTCTATCAAGAGGCTTGTCTATCAGGAGGCTTGTCTATCTGGAGGCGTTTCAATCAGAAGGCGTGTCTATCAGGAGACATGTCTATCAGGAGGCATGTCTATCAGAAGGCGTGTCTATCAGAAGGCGTGTCTATCAGAAGGCATGTATATCAGGGGACGTGTCCATTAGGGGATGTGTCTATCAGGAGGCGTGTCTATCAGAAGGCATGTCTCAGGAGGCGTGTCTATCAGGAGGCGTGTCTATCAGGAGGCATGTCTATGAGGAAGCGTGTTTATCAGGAGGCCTTTCAATCAGGAGGAGTGTCTATCAGGAGGCTTGTCTATCAGGAGGCTTGTCTATCAGGAGGCATGTCTATCAGGGTCTGCAGGCTGCAGCTAGGTAATATTGGCTCCTTTTGGCACAACCCGGCAGCAGATCTTTTTACTCCCCTCCCGCTACGATGGTTATGTGTTATTGGTCTGAAGTTTGTGGGTGTGTTTGTTTGCGCTGAAAGCGCTCAGATGCTGCATTTTGCTACAACCACTTGCTTAAATAAAGAAATAACGACTTACTTCCGGAGCTGACTGTTGTACCAGGAAGCAGACTTTTATAAAGACAGTCAAACCATGAAAAATTCATGAATGGAGATTAAAACAGACGTTGTGCATGGAAGAATCTGACTGATAAAAACTGTGGAGTAAGAATCGGGACAGATTTGTGCATAAACAACGTCGGGTGATGGGTCTCTGACTGTTTTTTTTCCACATTGTATACTCCAGCGGGAAGGAACCCCATGCAGTGACCTATGCTGCAGTGGGAGGGGTTTCCCAAATTCCCAGGAGCTTGGCACGGCRTGTCTGAGGRGCTATGAAAGGTGTGTGAGAAAACAAACASCGAACAAMCACATGACTGYGCGTCAACCGGTCGGCTTCAGAACCAGCATGTTTCAGGCTTTACTCTACTGTTAGGCTCAACGTTTTAGTTTCATACAGTCAACTGAAAATAAACTCACTCTCACAGCAGGTCAGATGTCTGTGGATATTTTTGCAAACTTACACACAACATAAGTGTTTATACATCCCAACATGTGTGTGTAATGCCCATTGTGTGTTCATGATGCACCGTTTATACATGATGATCAGTGAAGGTCTGCAGTTCTGATTCTCTACACAGATCTGAGTCAGATTTACCATCAGGATCTTGTTCTCGCACTGAGAACAGGTCGACCAGCTCCTCCAGGAGTCCTGCTTGTTCTTCATGGAGCCACTGCAACAAGCCTGTGTCTGAGCTCTGCTGGCAGCTCCTTCCACCTCCAGCTTCGCTTTTTGTTCCAAGACTTTCCAAGACAGGTTGACTTTTCTCAGGGTTCAGAAGGAACCTGATCTAAAAAAAATCAGGTGTTTTAAAAACTATGAATTCTTCTTTAGTTGCGTTTTTAAAAACATAATTTAAATGATGGTAGCATCAAGCTGCAACATAAAGCATGAAGAGGCTCTGAATACTTTCTGAATGCTGAGTCATCTGCTTTTTCACAACCCAGCAGGGAACAAACTCATGTTTTTTTTTCTGTGAAAGGAAGAAAGCTAAAGAAAAGCACAAGTTCAGCAGGAACTGAACTGAACCGAGGTAAAACTGTTCTCCAAACAACATCTCGTCTCACAGAGAGGTTGCTCTAGAAGCAGCAGAGGGAAAATGTTCAAACTGAATTCTTCTCATCTCCAAACAGTTTTTACATGAACCAGTAAAGTGTTGCTGTCAGAATCCTCCACCTGTCCTCTGCGCTCTGTCGGGCTCAGCTAAGTGTTTCTGCTGGGATAGTGGGCTCTGTACTGGGCGTCCATTTCCTCCATCCAGGCCAGACTCCAGTCCCACGCAGGAACAGGTTCCATGTCTTCAAACCCCTCACTGTCTGCTCGGAATGATGGGTAAAAGGGGCTGAGGGGGGAGGCACGGGGGGAGAAGTCTGAACACACAAGACCAAGTTTTGATTAGCGTTATAGATGAAAGTGACCCACAAGTCTCACAATATTTAAAGGGGCAATATCATGTAAAATCAACTTTTTTGAGTTTTATATCATGTTATAATGTTACACTCTCATAAAAAACATGTCCAAAGCCTTGCTTTGACTCATTCATGCACGTTTGAGAAATCCTGCAGCGTTTTTAGGAAGCCATGCTGAGGAGCAAAACGACAGGTGGGGACCAGAAACGCCCCTGGGACGTRTCTYYAAGCTGAGCTTCCTCATCATGGAGCACACCTCCCCACCCCCAACCCCACACACCCTGCCCATGACCCCTGCAGGCTCTCGGCAGTGACAGAGCAAAGTGAAAGCGAAACTTAAAACTGTCTGCTGCTCTTAACACTACTGCTCACTACAGCTCTTTTCAGATTCAAAATACCTTTGAGGAAATGTATTCTTAGATGCCAAGAAAACTGCATCAAAGTGCAGGTGCAACCCCCCCCTGCAAGTGCGACCCCCCCGCCACACATGGGACGGGACAGAAGCGGAAGGTGGTCCTTAAAGAGACAGAGGCCAATTTCAAGGCATTTAGAAGAGGAAGTGATGAGAAGAAACGTTTATTTTCAATTTAAACATAAAAACAGCATTTTAATAACAACTAAAGGTGACATAGATACTTTATTGTGGTATAGTATTTAAATGTATGCCTGAGAAACACATAATATTGGCTCTTTAAAGAAACATGCTCAGAATGAGATGATCAGACACACAGCTGACTGAAAACATTTTGATCTGTAGGCTGAAAATAGGAATGAATATAAATATATTTAAATTTAAATCTTCACTATGTTTCATCAGCAGTTACAAAGAAGGCTTGAACTTATACAGTATGAATGAATGAATGAATGTATAAATATATTTAAATTTAAATCTTCACTATGTTTCATCAGCAGTTACAAAGAAGGCTTGAACTTATACAGTATGAATGAATGAATGAATGAATGAAAGAAAGAATGAATGAATGAATGAATGATTTTATTTGGACACATTAAAGAACACTACACACAAAAACAAACAAAACTATACCTATACGACTTTAGCGCTTTATCAATTCCATATGGACCCGAAAGGGCTTGACACTTCAATCATTCACCCATGCACACACTAGTTCCACATGAGGTAACTTAGTTCACTGATCTTCTCATAAAATAACTAAGTGCTGGAGGAAATCCTCGTCATTTATAGGAGATTTATAATCATCTTTTTTTAGCTTTTTCTGAGAACCAGTTCTAGATTTTCTACAAAGATACAGAGATTTGATATTTCACAGCAGAGAAATCACAACACTTCTCAAAGCTGCTCATTGCAGTGTCAGAAAGATTGGTCAGTTAACCGAACAGAAACGAAGTCTGCACACATTCCCCCCCCCAAGGTTAACATGGGCAGCATGGTGGTGCAGGGGTTAGAACTGTCACCTCACATCAGGAAAGTCTTAGGATCACCTGAGACCTTTTGTGTCACATTCCTCCAGTGTGGACATGACTTCCCTCCCACTGACCAGAAACATGTGTTACTGYAGGTGTCAGGTTTGTTGTAAAGTGCAACCCAAAATGCAGGCAGACACAATGACTTGAATAAAAACAAAACTAGTTTATTAAGTAACAAAAGAAAAAGCTGACGTGGCAGAAAAGGACTGAAAAACAACAATGATGAAGAAACAAGAATGAAAACAAGGCTTGGAGCAAGAAAATCAGGCAATGACCCACTGGGGCAAAGGAGACAAGAGACCAGTAAAAATACAACTGAGGATGATCAAGAAGTGGAAGCACCTGGAAGATTATTACAAACTATGGACAGGTGTGAGTGGCACGCTGGCAAAACACTAAAACACTAAGAAGCTGACTAAAACATGACAGGAAACAGTGAAAACTAACAGGAAATGAGAAAATAAAAAAGTATCAAACAAAGAAACGGTCTAAAAAATCCTAACCAAAAGAACCAAGAAACAAAAATCATGACAGCAGGTTTATTACTGGTGTGAGTGAAGATGAATAGTTGTTTGTTTCATTAGACTCTGTGTGTACCTGTGATGAACCTGCTACATGTTCAGAGCACACACACCCCGCCCCCAACCACACTCACACAGTCTGCAGAGAGACAGTGGCTGGCCATGGATGGATGGATGGATGGATGGACTGATGGAAGGATGGATGATGTACAGATGGATGGATGGATGGATGGATGGATGGATGGATGGATGGATGGATGGATGGATGGATGTACCACATAAACCTGTTTTCTTTAGAACAAAGTGAAAAAAGTCAGAGCAGCAGATAAAAGTATTTGAGTAGAAACAGTGGAAACACATTTAGATCTGTGTAACGATCAGAACAAATAC